CTTCTGCGCAAGATTTAGCAGAGCCAGTGGCATGGTCTTCCAGCTCACTAACACGGATCTCTAGGGTCTGCATCCTGGTCGTCTGTGCCTCTAATGCCGCAGTAATAGGCCCCATATGTAGTTTCAGGGATTCTGCAATAATGCTGCCCACTTCTGATCGTAAATGAGAAGCCACCGTAGCTGCTAACTGCTGGTAATCAATGGGGACATGGGGAGATGTTGATTCAGACTCACCCAATGTCCCTGCAGCATCGGCGTCCGCCGAATCAGGCAGTGTGACCATCGGGCCTGACGAGATGGAGAGTGAGCGGCGGACCAGCTGTGAACGAGCCACGAATTTATCCATGAACCGAACGGTGTATGGAGGCGATCCAGGGGTCTCACTGGACGTGATTCAGCCGTGGTATGTACACGTTGTATGTGGGCTGGATGTGGCGGGGACGGAGCTCCGGTATACACCACTACTCCATCCGGCGCCGGAACCGGAAGTCCTCAGATTTTCTAATTTTAATGGCCAGCATTATTCAACCCTCTTCCCGTGAGCCCAGGCCATTCTGGACTTGCCCCAGACTGCAACTAGGCAGTGAAAGGAGAAGCTGCACAGTGTTGATCTCATTTTTCTGTCACTCTGCTTTCTCTTCCTATCAGCATGCTGATTGGCTCCTTGTGCTGCATCTTTCTCTCACACTCCAACCTTGCTGTGCAGGGACTGCAAGAGATTTATACTAAGTCAAATTTAGGCACTTACACTGCCTGCATTAAAACAAAATACATTTAATTATAAATTAATTGTTACAGAGTTGCATTCATTTTTATCTTTTATATCTGCCAAGAGTTTTAACTCCATCTGAAACTAGTATATATCTTGTGAGTTGACAATGGTAGTACTTTTCTTGAAAGGCCTTTCAGACAGGTCCTTAGCTTGATATCAAATCTCCTTTGTCCCCCAAATGGCGGTACCTTTTGAAAGAATTTTTAGGTGGTGTACCCACAGACATTGCAGAATTGACTGCAAAATCTGTCATTTTATTTCTGCAGTGTTTCAGTCAGAAAAGCCAAGCAGAGACCAAAGATACCATAAATTATAGTCTTTCCTTGCTGTGCCAGCTGATGTGAGACACTTGCTCCATGTGAAAGGTCGCATTCTTAATATCAGCTTGTAGGTACTGTTAACAGCTATTCAACAGAGTGCCGGGTAGTAATTAAAATAAATTCAGCTGTGTTGTTCACTTGCATTCCCCAGTCTATTAACACCTTAAACGAGGTCACATAAGCAGTTAATTTAAACTGATCTGGAAAAGTTCAATGTATTGAACTAGGGCATGTCTAAGCCCAATGTGCGCATTCAACCTACAGTGGCGGTCGAAATGCTTTGCACAGCTCTTTATAGTCAGTATTCTCATGTGCATATCGTCTACTAGCCTATACATTGCTAATTTACTCAATTCATATCCATCTGTAATTAAAGCAAACAGAAAAAAAATGTTTTGGGTACAGTAGGCATGAAGTAGAGTTTTTGAGAAGTTCTATGTACGCAGAACAAAAAGCTTAAAGTTGTAATGCAGCTTTTGTTAAACTTTTAGGCCTGTTTGCATTAGTGTGGTGCAGTAATACTTGTTAAATTAATAAAGCACATCATCTTAAATGGACTGCCAAAGCATCTGATCTCAATAAAAACTGCACCTGGCAGGTTTTTAACAATGCTGTGCTTGGCAATGCACAGTAATGCAGCTGTACAGCTATGTTGTCTTAGTGCAAGATGAGTGGCACCCCTGCACATAAAGTAATAATAGTGTTAACCCACTTGTAGGCGTAGTTATGCAACAAAAGTGGAACTTTAGGCAATACAAGTCTTTTAATAACACAGCATACTGTATGTTATATAAAATTGCTATTTTTAGTAGAAATGTATTCCTGCATAAGTTTCAGGTCCTACTGAGTATGTCCATGAACACTCTTCACTTCCTGTCCACAGTTTCCTAGAATCAGGAAGAATGTTTACTTGCTGGTATATGTAAATGCTCTATTTAACTATACTTAAATATACTACACAGTAGGGGGCGACATATGTCATTTATTCATCAACCGACACCGATTACTTGCCACATTTCAAGCTGATAACCAACATCAGGTGCCGATATTCTGTTTACATCCGACTGCAGAATCTTGCGCCGGCAGATGAACACATAGCCTGGTAAACTTTCCCTATCAGGTCCACTCTTCTGCTAGTTGACAGCAGGCATTGGGTGTATGTAAGAGCCAGCCTGCTATTAGCTATTTCAAATTGAATTACCCAATAGCAGATTGACTATCACTCCCGCTCACTGCCTGCTTTTTACATTCAGCTGCAGGTTAAAGGAGAACTATGAGGTGAGTGCTTTTCACTCACCTCATAGTTCTAGCCGACCTGTGACAATAAGACTGTCAAATTGAATTACCCAATAGCAGATTGACTATCACTCCCGCTCACTGCCTGCTTTTTACATTCAGCTGCAGGTTAAAGGAGAACTATGAGGTGAGTGCTTTTCACTCACCTCATAGTTCTAGCCGACCTGTGACAATAAGACTGTCACGGCTCAGTAGATCAAGAAGTGAGCGAACACTGTAGGCACTGGTTGTCTGCCAACAGAGACTCCCCTTCACTGTCGGCACTTATTGTTAATATTGGTAAATTTAAGACTGATACCGATTTTTTTAAAATTTGTGAATATTGGCCATAATAATTCGGTAGATCCGATAATCACTTAACCCCTACTACACAGCAAGTTAAGATAAACAATCAAATTGTATCATTTTAAAAATTCCATAATCCTATTGAGTAGTTAATTCCCACTTGCCTTTATCATACTTATCAGAATTTGCTTTACATATATTTTAATACTTCTCAGAATTTGAACCACATTCCATAACTGGTGGACATGTCCTACATTTTCTGACATTTGGTTTAAAATTTTAAAAATGGTCTTGGATATTTTTTCATGATCATTTACTAAAAGTCCTGCCATCTTTTTTTTAAAACTAATAAATAATCTGGTGTCAAAAAGTCGCTAGACACCAGATGGGATGTTTTTGATCAAATTTGAACTCCTTGCATTTTGTTTGTTGTTGATCAAGAATTTGATGCTGTTTTTTTACTGCGCCTTACATACAGTGAGGAAAATAATGATTTGAACCCCTGCAGATTTTGCAGGTTTGCCCACTTACAAAGAAATTAAAGGTCTATAATTTTTATCATAGGTGTATTTTAAATGATAGAGACAAAATATCAACCAAAAATCCAGAAAAAACACATGATACAAATGTTATAAATTAAGTTGCAGTTCAGTGAGTAAAATAAATATTTGATCCCCTACCAACTAACAATAATTCTGGCTCCAACAGACTGGCTATGTGGTACACAGATAAGTCCTGTCCATTTAAGAAGGTGCTCCTAACGACCAGTTGTTATGTATATAAAAGACACCTGTCCACAGAATCTTTGTTCCATTCAAACCTCACTGCCATGGGCAAGACCAAAGAGCTGTCCAAGGACGTTAGGGACAAGATTGTAGACCTGCACAAGGCTGGAATGGGCTATCAGCAAGAAGCTTGGGGAGAAGGAAACAACCGTTGGAGTGATTATTCGCAAATGGAAGGAATACAAAATAACCATCAATCGCCCTTGGTCTGGAGCTCCATGCAAGCTTTTGCCTCATGGGGTAAGGATTGTCATGAGAAAAGTGAGGGATCAGCCCAGAACTACAAAAGAGCAGCTTGTGAATGATCTCAAGGCAGTTAGGACCACAGTTACCAAACAAACCATTGGTAACACAATACACTGCCATGGATTGAGATCCTGCATTGTCCGGAAGGTCCCCCTCCTCAAGAAGGCACATGTACAGACACGTCTGAAGTTTGCCATTGAACATCTAAATGATTCAGAGAAGGATTGGGAGAAAGTGCTGCGGTCAGATGAGACAAAATTTGAGCTCTTTGGCATTAACTCAACATGTTTGGAGGAAGAAAAATGCTGACTATGACCCTAAGAACACCATCCCTACAGTCAAGCATGGAGGTAGAAACATTATGCCTTGGGGCTGTTTCTTTGCTAAAAGGTACAGGCCTTTGACACATTGAGGGTCCAATGGACGGGGACATGTATTGTAAAATCTTGGATGAGAACCTCCTTCCCTCAGCCAGAACACTGAAGATGGGTCGTGGATGGGTCTTCCAGCATGATAATGATCCAAAACATGCCACCAAGGCAACAAAGCAGTGGCTCAAGAGGAAGCCCATTGAGGTCATAGAGTGGCCTAGCCAGTCTCCAGATCTTAATCCTATAGAAAATTTATGGAGGGAGCTGAAACTTAAAGATTTAGAGAAGATCTGTAAAGAAGAGTGGACCAAATTCCCTCCTGACATGTGTGCAAACCTGATAACCAACTACAAGAAATGTCTTACCTCTGTTCTTGCCAACAAGGGTTTCTCGACATAGTACTAAGACATGTTTTGCTTGGGAATCAAATACTTATTTTACTCACTGAACTGCAACTCAATACATAACATTTGTATAATGTGTTTTTTCTGGATTTGTGGTTGATATTCTGTTTTTTATCATTTAAAATACACCTATGATAAAAATTATAGACCTTTCATTTCTTTGTAAGTGGGCAAATGTACGAAATCTGCAGGGGATCAAATAGTTATTTTCCCCACTGTAATAAAGATTTACAGAACTGGTTGAAATGCATGGTTCTCTTATGCTAGATCATATTTCAGTTTTTCTGCTTACTCCTTATCCTGCTTACTTTGCTTCCATTTGTGTGAAACCATAATACATCTGGTTCATTTGTTCACACTCATGCCATGCATTGGAAATTAGGCTTACTTTTTCATTCACACAATCAATCAAAAAACCTTGAAATTGAAAAAGATACACTTTGAGTACGTTGGATTCATGTTGTATTAATGATTCATGAAATATGCTCTACTTTATAACATATTTTGTCCTCTTTGTCTAGCGGATGATGCATGTGGAGGAACTTTAAGAGGTCAAAGTGGAATCATCACAAGTCCACATTTCCCATCGGAATACAATAACAATGCTGACTGTACATGGACAATACTAGCAGAGGTTGGAGATACAATTGCCTTGATCTTTACAGATTTTCAATTAGAAGATGCTTATGACTATCTGGAAGTGACAGGAACAGAGGGCTCATCTCTTTGGTAAGTGGCATTTGCATGAAAAACTTGTTAATGCTTTGCACATTTCAAGTGAGAGAATGGGGTGATTTACTAACCTAAACACACGCACGAGGTGCGTGTGCTTTTTTACACAGCAAAACGTATTTATCAAACAAAAAGTCTCTAAAGCATATTTCCACTAATGCCATATATGGAAAAATCATGCACATGATGCATATATAATGCTGCTTCACAGTTTAGACAAAAATGGTTAGCTCATGCATTTACATTCCTGCATTCATCAACGCAAGCAACACAATGTAGAGCTAATTTACACAACATCACCTTGCAATTCATGCTTGGCTTTGCACAACACACCTGCTGGGTGTGTACACACTACAAAGGTGTTTAGATTCCACCCATAGATCATGCTGGGAGGGAACACACTACAGAGGTGTATACATGTTCGTGGTGTGTTTATAAGGTTAGTAAATCAACCCCAATGACTAAATACTTAATGGCAAATGGAATTTGCCTAATTTGTTGGCAATCCTTCATAGTACCATGGAGGGATCTTTGTCTACTACAGTCTTGTAGTTGTTTGAAGTATTTGACAGGCCGTTCTATGCCGGTTTAAAAAAAATTTTTTTCAAGATTTTTTTGTTCTTTTTTTTTTAAACACGGCAATACCATTGTGTTTTAGTGTTTACTGCCAAGGAACATAATTACAGGCGGCATAATTTTTTTTAACATATCATTTTTATTATTTAGGGAATGACATGTAAACTACAGAAATATCATAGTTACACTAGATATCAAAGACCTATCATATGAAAATGAGATTACAGTGTTTCGGATACAAGACAATAGCAAGAAAGTATTGCATAAAAACTAGTACATAAAGAGAAATGTGATCTATCCTGGAGAAGCGGTCTATCTTTCCCCATAATTTTCTAAAATGTTTATGCATAATATAGCCAGTAGCAGATCTACCACCATAGCAACCCACATAGTGGCTATGGGGCTGGACTGGGGGTGAGCCCAGACTGGGCCTCTGAGATGAGAAGTGGGTAACTGAAGAAAGCCCCTCCCTGTGTGTGTTCTTGGTTTCAGGACACTGCAGAGTGGCAAGGGGTGCCCTGATGATGGAATGCTGAGAATCCAAGAGGCAGCATGGGGAGGCATGGTAGATCAATTCCTCCCTTGATGCAGAGCACCTACAGACCTCTCATCAGTGCAAGCACCTGCCAGGAAGTGAAAACCCATTCTTTCTCTCTCAGTCAAATGGCATTTTCCCTCCTACTGACCACTGACGAGGTAGTTTCCTCCCACTGACCACTGATGCTAGGCCATTTTTCCTCCTTCTGACCACTGATGCATGGGAATGTTTTACTCCTACTGACCACTGACAAGGCATTCTTTCTGCCTACTGACCACTGATATCAAAGCAATGTTTCCTCCTACTGACCACTGATGAGGTATTTTTACCACCTACTGACCACTGACAAGGCATTTTTCTTTCTTCTAACTACTGACAATGCATTTTTTCCTCCTACTGACCACCAACACCTGGCATTTTTTTTATCCCTACTGACCACTAACAAGACCTTTTTTATCTCCTGCTGACCACTGACAAGGCATTTTTTTCCTCTTATTGACAACTAACACCAGTGCATATTTTCCTGCTACTAACAACTAGCACCAGTGCATTTTTCTTCCAAATGAGCAATGACACCTGGGCATATCTCCTCTCTCTAAATACTGCCTTCAGGGCATTTATTCCTTCAATTGAATACATTTTCTTGCAGATCTGAGAGAGAGTAAGTTCTCCCTGCAGGAGCGGTGAGTGGAAGAGTGGCTGGGTAGAATAAGGTGAATTTATTGTGTTTACTTATCAACACTTGGCAAACCAGATTGAAGGTTTTACTTCACTTAGTCACCTCAGCAGAATAGTCCCAGAAGACCAATACCTTGTATCCATCCACAATAAGCTGGCATTGTGCTCTGTATGCTCTCAATAGTTGCAACATATCTACAAAATCCAGGTATGTGGAGATAACTAGATCTCACAAAGTACAATCGGGTCTTGCAGGGCCCAGACTCCACTCTAAGAGGGTTGTGCAGTCCTAGGGCGGTTGGCATGTCAGCATATAAATGTTTGTCAGGGCTTATAGGTTTCCGTAGGGCCAACAAACTAAAGGTTGTTTCTCCTTGAATGATTTTCAAGAACAAGTTTGTCTGCCAAGACCATTTCTTGTTTGATAGTTAATTATGTTTGATTTTGTAGGGCCTCCAGCGAGTCCTCCAGTGTGATAACTAGCTCTACAATTTGAATATCATGGGACTGTATGTGGCCACAAAGCTCCTGGAGACAGGCAACAGAATTATGTAACAAAGCTGTAAGATCAGGTGACAAGTTTATCAAATTCTTGTACCACCAGACTACTGTGGATGGCTGCAGTGGTTGTTCTGCATCTGCCCCCTTATACTCAGAGAGGGCCGTATGATTTTTCTCCATCATTTTAAGCAGGTGCTGTTTACGGTGCTTTGATTTGTGGCAGAGTTTTTTTTACAAATATTTCCATAGTGGATATAGTAGAGATAATAGGCATCAGAGTGACCTCTGCAATGGTGTTGAACAGCGATGTGCTCAAGGATGAAGTTGGCAGGACAGAGCTCATTTGTACTGCTGCCTCTCACATTTGTGTGTACCACAACTGAAAGTCTGCATAATTTTTTAACGTCACAGCTAGCTAAAATTAGTCACTGTCCACTGCTATCTACAATAGTGTATTATGACTGTAGATTGACGTCATATAAAACATTAATTTCAGGAGAGATTTATTCACAGAATAAAATGAATAAACAAGCACAATAATTTGTCTCAAACATGTTTTTAAAAGACATACAGAGATGAATAAAGGCAGATCAGTTTTAGAATTTGTTCTTACACTGGAAATGCTAAGAATGGAACCTTCAGGCAACACTCCCTGGGAAATATATGCAAATACACCTCAACATATGTAAAAAAGATTATGGGGTAATTGTCAATAGAAATAACAAATTGAAATCAAAGTCATATTAAAGTTTGATTAAAAATGTGGAACTAAATTGCATTGACCTATAGTAGCCATACAACTAACAATATTAAACTGTTTAATGACAAAGTTATAAACAATAGGTTGTATATCAGATGTTTTGAGTCATTTTACAGAAGGCTCATTTGAGAAGCGTAGTTCAAACAACATCATATTTTGTATATAACAGAATTTCAACAAGTTCCTTTTGGTTTTTTTTATAAATTTGTTTTGTTACTGTAAGCGGTTCTTACAATGGAACCTGGAAAACTAATTTTAACAAAGACACATTGATCTTGTAACAATGAGTACTTACCCCATGCACACGTATGTGACCAGCAAAGGTGTGCTAGTTTTTACACTGGTATAAAAGATATAGACTGAACAGATGTCTTGCCAAGAGTTATGGGAGGGAAGACATTTGCCTATCTTCAAACTGCTCTTATACCACCTGGACCTGCTGTGATCCTCTTCCCAACCATACCATTTGACAGATGTGGGTTACACACATTGAAAGCTCTGTTCTATTGTCTTCATTGAAATTGGTATGTGCAGAGATTTTCCAACATGTCTCAATATCTGTGTATGGTATGTGTGCACTAAAGGGATTATTTTTTTCTTCTTTTGTTGTGTCTGTTGCATTACCTCTATATTTTGGATTGTGCATTGCCACCCTAGGTTGTCCCATAGCATTGGAATAGTACTTAATTGCCATGGCATGTATGTTGCATCAAGGGGAGGTCAGAAATCCAAAGGTCAGTTGACAGTAGTAGACAATTAACTTATTTCTTGTTAAGGCACTATTACTGAATAGAATAATGACTATTTCCTGCACAGGTGTCCCTACATTGTCCACACGTGGTGTTTGAATTTTCCGTACTAGAAAGCAGATTGGATGGTGAACTTATTATATCGCAAGTGAGTTGCGCTCGGTCTCGACAAATAAATAAAATAAAATATGTGCACTCTATAGGACGTGAAGAAATTACTAAGTTCAGATTCTACTGTGAAAAAATTAAAAATCTCGGTAGTCACTACCTCGGTAATAATTGTGCAAAGCTGAAAGCTCTGTTCTATTGTCTTCATTGAAATTGGTATGTGCAGAGATTTTCCAACATGTCTCAATATCTGTGTATGGTATGTGTGCACTAAAGGGATTATTTTTTTCTTCTTTTGTTGTGTCTGTTGCATTACCTCTATATTTTGGATTGTGCATTGCCACCCTAGGTTGTCCCATAGCATTGGAATAGTACTTAATTGCCATGGCATGTATGTTGCATCAAGGGGAGGTCAGAAATCCAAAGGTCAGTTGACAGTAGTAGACAATTAACTTATTTCTTGTTAAGGCACTATTACTGAATAGAATAATGACTATTTCCTGCACAGGTGTCCCTACATTGTCCACACGTGGTGTTTGAATTTTCCGTACTAGAAAGCAGATTGGATGGTGTTCTTTCTTACAGTTGGATAATTTGCAATTTTCAAGCTTTGTATGGACACATGTACAGTGCCAGTGCAAAAGTAACTGTCTGCAACACCACTAAACAAGCAACATGAAGACCAAAAGTTCTGCAGAAATATACATTAGGGTTAGAATATAAAAAATTCCAAATTTTTAACACCTGACAGAGCACAATTACATTCATTATAACAAAATGGAAAGGCTATGGCACCATTACAAACCCGACGAAAAGAAAAATACACATTTGGAGTTCACTAAACAGCAGGTGGCAGACTTCTCAAACACATTGTGGCACAAACCATTCCCATCACCCTGAGTACAGCATTCCCACAGTGAACCATGGTGGTGGCAGTTTCATGATGTGGCAGGGACTGAAAAATTGGTTAGGATTGAAGGAAAAAATGAATGGCATGAAAATGGAGGGCAATTTTTGAAGAAAACCTGTTTCAGCTACACTGGATTAGTTTAAAGGGAACTTAAATGTCTAGAATGGCCTAGTCAAACCCA